GCTCAGAATGTGCCTCCTTCTCTATCCAGCCCCATGGCTGTGGAAGGTTTATTTCAGAAGAAAAATCCCTCAGATCCTTCGTTTCAAAGGAAGGTTGTGACTTGGGTGTCAGTGGTGATGTGGGGTGTCAGGGATTCAACACTCCACTGCTCCAGATAATTATGCAATTCCTTAACCTGGCAGGAAAAGCAGACACATCATCTCCAGTAAGTGCCCATCTACTGCTCTGCTTTAAGTAACATCTTCCAAGGCTAGCACAGCAGCCTCGCTGCTGCCACACGCAGGGGTGATGATACATACCCTGCAATCTTGGCAGCAAAGGGAGGTGGCTGTTTTAACATCTTCTCCAAGGTTCTGAAGTGGAGTCAAAGCACTTTGATTGCTCCAAGGAAGGAAAATCTACTTCAGCAGGTGGAAGTGCCCTGCCCAAATTCTAGGGAAATGTGATTGCCCTCAAGTTACACACACAAGTGCATTTTTCCTCCTGTTTTAGCCTCTTATGCTTTGTCTTACAGTGAGACAAGAAGGCAAGAAACAACACAGTGATGGATTTGGCTCAGGTATTGGCTCTGGTGCTGTGCTTGGTTTTGGATATACTAACTTGTTTCTCCTGAAAGCCTTGGACCAGACCTGGCTTTACCACAGCCCTAGAAATGTCATGGGAACAAGCAGTTCCAAAGCCTCTGCTTCCAGGTGAAACTGCAGAGTAAAGTAGCAAAGAAACTCAAGGGCAGATGTGGTTAAGTTCCAACTTTATAAAGCTTTCCTTAAGATGAAGGAAAACAAATTCCATGCACGTATTATTTATTTTTCTTTGAGCCAGTTGATCTGATTGTGCTTCTTGCCAGAGGTTTTTTGTCTTATCTGAGAATCAAAGGCTAAAACTAAGAGTAATTTTGGGTACTTCCTATAGTCCACATTCTCAGAGACCACAAACCCCATCATTTACTGAGCACCGTAACAGCTTTCTGAGGTGGGGAAGTAGCAATATCCCTCTTCTTTAAAAATGGGGAACTTGAACAACGGGCTGGCAGAAGTTGGGTGGAAAGATGGTGTCTACATCAGATTGTCTTGTCAGAAAATCCTTTCCCTTGCTTCCTCTGAGGCCTCCTGGACAACAAGAAAGCTGGGCTAGACTTGAGCAGCTAGTGGGTGCTGCCATTTTTAGATGCCTGGCTTGGAAGAGCTCTAGCCCTCAACTCCACAGAGCGGACAGAAGGCCATGCAATGTCATCTTTTTGATCCACCAATGTGGTGACCCTCTTTTCTTACCCTTGCAGAGTTTTAGTTGCAGTGATGAAGTGAGTGTGGAAGTGACAGTTCCTCATTTTACCTTAGACACCACGTAACGGGTCAAAACCACCCATTCTGCCTGTGATTTCAGGTTATGTTACATGCTGTTCATTGCCTTTGTCATAACTGCTTGCTGATTTTTCATAAGTGCCACAGGTTTGTGCCAGAACTCACTACAAAAGCAAGTGACTTTATTTTTCTTCTTGGCAAGCAACAGAAAACTTGAGGACCAAACAGCAGCAGTGTTAGCAATGCAAGGATCATGTTTCTCAAGTGTGCCAGTAGTTGATCTCCAGCAGGTCTTTACCAGGTAGTCCATCTTGCAGCCATGGTTGGGTGCTGGTGGGATGATGACAAGTGTCTGCATCCCTTGTTCTGTGCCTTGGGAGGGGAACCAAATATGTTGGCAACAGGATTCTGCATGGTCCAACGCCAGCAGTCAGCAAGTTGTGTGGGGCTCGTGGTCACCATGGTTCTATGTAAGCAGAACAGCCCCAGTGAAGGTCTGAATTTGGCCAGATATCTCTGAACATGGAGCTGTGGCTAAGGTGGTGCCACCCACAGAGACAAGGAAGAGATGTTTCAGTTCTCTGACTCGGATGCCCTCCAGTGTGAGACCTGCTTCCCTGCTCAGCCTCCTGCAGTTTGGCTTCTCAACCCCATCTCTGGCTGTTTTCACTGTCCTTTAGATCAGGATGTTGAGGACACATCTTGCTGACATTCTGTTTGCCTGGGGAACCTGGACGAGTTCATGTTGAGTTCAAGTCCAGTTCATGGTGTTTGGCACTGATGGGTGTTGGCAGGGGGGCAGGCAGGTTTGGGCAGAGGAACAGCTCCCAGCCCTGGAGGAAGGAAGAAACAAAGAAAGAGAAGAAGCAAGCAAAGGATTTACAAAAATCTGTACCAATGTGCAGTGAAATCAGCTGCTGGCTCTGTCAGATCAGCCAGGTGCTCTTTTACAGAGGCAATTGTTCTGGGAAGAGCTGGCATGTGAACTATGGAAGAGGGTAATGCTTGGTGTTGGGTATTTTTAATTCTTTCTTGGAGTGGAATTTGATTTCTGTGCTTTGCCACAGAAGGTTGGAAAGAGAAGACCAAAATGATGAAATGTCCTTGTGTAAGAGGGCAGGGAAAGCTGGATTTCCAGCCTGATTGTGAGACTGGCACACAGTGCTGTCCTGGGCAGCTCAGCAAACCTCTCTGGGCTTCCTTCTCTTCATGTATAACTATTACAGTGCCCACCTGCCAGGGCTAAGTTCTGGGCACACTTTAGAGATTTGCAATTATTTGAGATCCTTTTTGGGGAAATGCAGAAGAATTTTCTTCTTCATCCCTTATGTGTTCAGAAGAATCACAAAGAATGTGTTGTGGAAGGGAAGTCTTTAATGAATTAATTTAACGAGTGAATGGATGAGACCCATGGCCAAAACTCATGTTGCTGAGCTGCTGAGGTGGAGCTGCTGGGAGCTGAGCTCTGTGTGCCCAGTGCTCTGTTGCACTGAGCAAACCCCAGGTGGGGATCTCTGAAGGAAAAGATAATCTTTCCTTCTGCATCACCCCATGTTTGCCTTTGGAGATATCCTTGTCCTCCACACGTTGTCTCTCCTCTCTCTCATCTGCCACCAATGTCCTTCCCCCCCAAACCCAGCTCTGTCCATCCCCCTGCAAGATATTGGTGTTCCCCAAATGTCAGGCATGAAGAGGCAGCTGAAAGGCTCTGAAATACTCTCTGCCATTTAGTGGAGTGAATAGAAGTGGCTCTTGAAGCTGTCTTTGGTTGCTTCAGCTGGCTTGGTATTAAAAACCAGTACCCTTAGGAGAACAGAAACTGCCTGTCCTTGGTGCCTGCATGGCACCCTGTGGAGCAAACTGCTCAATGTTCTGCCATTGCTGAGAGCAGCCAGCAAACCCAGCCATGGGTGCCCTACCTGCATTTCTGCCTCACTTTTAAGCAAATCTTGCTTTTCATGAATGTATCAGCTGCTGCCTGCCTGCCTCCTGCCACAGAGATCTTTCTGCTGAGCTCTGTTGGGTGCATCCTGCAGCAGCTTGTGGAGCAGTTCTGCTGACACCAGCCTGGCAGGCAGCAGCGTCCAACTTGAATAAGTCAGAGATTTTATTCCCCAGCAATAAATTCCTACCACTGAGGCGATATGAGTGCACCAGCCTTTCCCAGGCTGCTTGTGGGATGTGCTGCCCTTGGCTGGGTTTTGGTTGCTGTCTTGGCTGCTTCCTCTTGCTCAGACTTTGAATAATCCTGCTGCCCATGAGCTTTTCTCTTTCTGACACTGCAAGTGCCCTCCAGTGGGTTGGCTGCATCTTTGTGCTAGAAAAAATATGTAGCAAGCCCACAGTTGGGATAGGATGGAATTGATGGACTGAGAATTTAGGGAAGCCTCTTCTAAGCTGGATGGGTGGATGTGTGCACCAGAGGAAGAGGTTCAGACCTGTAATTCATTCCTTTGATACATCTGGTGTTGGTCCTCTGGGTTACAGGGCTGGTGTAGATGGGTACAGCTGCCAGTGCACATGGGTGACAGTGCTCAGCATGGGTGCCTGTTCTGTGCTGGAGGGATGGGGAGGGCTTGGAGGCAGAGGAGGAGGTGGACAGTGGTGTGGCATCACCATCTTGCCATGGCTGTGGGATAACTGAGGGTTTGGGCTGTCCAGTCTGCATCTCTGGGCAGTGAGGTGGACTTGATTGCTGCTGGGTGTACCTGGCCCAGAGGATGGGCAGGTCCGTGGGAACATGGGCAGCTTCTTTTGAATGACTAAATACATGTCTGTGTGCATTTTTTTGTGTCTGTGCTTTAGATTTTTGTGGCACAGACTGCCTGCTGGTTCCAGAGCCATTTCATATATTTAAGAAGTTCAGTTACTTAACTGAAAGTTTTTGTGAACCAGATGCTTTTTAACTTTAAAATCTTAGCTCCTTGGGAGTCAGTAACAGGCACTGAGTGACTTGATCCAGTGGGAGGTGTCCCTGCCAATGCAGGGGGTTGTTTCTAGATGATCTTTAAGGTCCCTTCCAACCCAAACCACTCTATGATTCTGTGAAGTCAGAAGGTGAGAGCCTGTTCTGTTCATGTCTCGGGCAATCCAGCCACACGTTTGGGTCTGCTTGGTTTTGAAGCTCTTCTCCTTTTCTTTACCCTCTCTCTTTTTTAAAAATGCATCATTTTATCCCTGGCTCTCAGCACCTGCTCTCTGCTGCAGGGTACCGAGAGGGGTTTCTGTGGAAGAGAGGACGTGACAACGGGCAGTTCCTGAGCCGCAAGTTCGTGCTGTCGGAGCGGGAAGGTGCCCTCAAGTACTTCAACAAAAATGATGTGAGTACCTGGGGCTGCTGCGTGCAGCTCTGAGAGCACCTTCCAACAACTCCAGACCACCATTTTACTTATTGTTTTGCAGTTTTCCTGAGCATTGTGTCCCTGATGGCTCCAGGCACTGCTTACCAGTGTTTTTAGTGGGGTTTGCTCTTGGTCCAGCACCCCTGCCACGGTGACACACCCCAAATGGCTATTTTTCACATTCCTGCCCTCTGGAGTCAATAAGGTTATTCTTAAACTGCCAACAAAGGAGTTTTTCTGAGCTCTGGCTCTGCATCACCCTGCTGATGTGGGTGATTTGTGGCTGGCTGGTGATGGAGGTATCACCACCCCACAGTGGTCACTGGGGTCTGAAGTCTCCTTTGCGTGGCACGGCCAGCAGGACAGAGGAAAAGCCCTGGGTTCTCTCTGCCAGTGTCAAGTGGTGGAAACATTTGTCTTTTTCCCCAGAGCACATGTAATTTATTGTAAGTGAGAAATGGAGCTATTACCATGAAAATTGAATTTGTGATGGATGGATGGATGGATGGATGGATGGATGGATGGATGGATGCTCTACTATTCTGCGCCACGTAATGGAGGAGCCAAGGTGCTTTCTCTGACCTTTGAGTCTCCCCTGAACGTTGCAGCTGAGAGCAGCCCAGGCTGAGCCACCAGCAGGTTTCTCAAGTAGTTGATGCAATTGTGGTGTCATAATGAGCCACACTGTGCAGAGGAGGGACAGGAACATCCTCCCACATTTCTCCATGCCTGGCAGCTGGCCTTGGCAGTGCTGCCTTCTCCTTCAGCTTGGTGTGGTGCAACTGCATCTCGTGGACAGGAGAGAGCCAGTCATTGCTGAGGGAGAAGTGAAAGTCCCAGCAGCCCCCCATTCAGTTGCTTTTGATTGCTTTGCTTTGTTGTTGGCTATAGCTGTGGGGACAGTGCTGTCTAGACATGTCCCCTTGGCTGGGATTTCCCTGCCATGGTCACCCTCAGCCATTGTGTGTCCAGGGCAAGTCCCCAAGTTCCCAAAGCAGCATTTGCATCTGCACCAGCTCAGGGACTTCCACATGGTGCTAGGGACCACAGCACCACTGCATGACCTGCCGTGTCCTAAAACTGGTCTTATCAAGATCCTAATCTTTTTTTTGGGGAGAGGGGACATTTTATTCACACTGGCTGCTTTCCCTCCCAGTGAGGTCCTGAAAGGATGGGAAACTTCTGGAGATGTTTTGTAGGAAGACAAACCACTCTACAAAGTTCAGATGACCTGCCACAGAAGGTGCAGGTGGGATTGGTGCCTGTGAGGGCCTGATCCAGGCTCTCCTTTGGGCTAATCCACCCACGAGATGGGCTGGAAGGTAGATATTTGTTCTTCTGGAGAGAAAGTTGCCAGTTTGGAGGGCAAACAGAGTGGAGTGAGAAGCCAACGGCTCCTGTGAGAGGATGGAGACATGGACATGGTGCTCCTTGCCAGCCTAGCATCCTGGTCTGATGTTGGCAAGGGGGATAATCCTCCATCTTCTTGTCATGAGGTAAAGAGGCTGCTCTAGGGGCCAGGAGGCAGTGGAACAGAGGCTGGGCCAGGAAGCATCGTGATGATGCTTGTCTTCATATCACAACATCCTATTGTGAGACCTGGCCTGTCTATCTTGCTTCTGGGCTGCCACCTTTCTCCCTTGAGCCTTGCTGAACTTTGCAGGAGGGCAGAGAATTCTCCCAGGCTGGCAGAACTCTCTCCTGGCTGCCAGTCTCTGGCATCTCATCTCCAGGCAGTTTTGTGGGCTGGGAGTCTTTACTTATTTTTTTCTTTCAGCTAATGGCCTCCATCAGGAGGTTTTTTCCTGGCCAAGTGAGCTTCTTTCTGGCTTGAAAGCCAATTCTCAGGTGTTTGCTCACTCAGCTGTGTTTTCCAGGCAAAAGAACCCAAAGCAATTATGAAGATTGAACATCTAAACGCGACTTTCCAGCCTGCAAAGATCGGGAACCCACACGGGCTGCAGATCACCTACTTGAAGGACAATAGCACAAGGAACATCTTTGTCTATCATGAAGATGGCAAGGTGAGAGCACGGAGGTAAAAAGAAAGGTTGGGTTATGGTCCTGGGGGGTTGATGTTGCTCAGAGCCAGACTGTGGTGCACCAGGCTCTGACTGAGCTGGGAATTGCTGGGAGGATGTGGAAGGTGTGGGGACATGGGATGCACAATCAGCTTTGAGGGTGTTTGTCATGTCCTTCCAAGCAGGAAGGCTGCAGGCTCTGTCTTCTAAATAATGAGATGCAAATGGCAGCAGTTGCTGTTCCTCTGCAACTAGACAATAGGGGCAGAGGTATTTCTAAGGCAGGCTCCTCAGTGCCTGGAGAAGAAAATGAGGCAATTGGAGTGATGAAAGGTGAATGGACTCACAAAAGGGGAGTGAACAGCATTGTAGGAGAACTGGGGGAACTGGTGGTTTCGTTATAAAATGCAAATCTGCTGGTGCGTGTTGCTGGTGCATGTTGCTGGTGCATGGACATGTCTGTTCTGTGTGACCTCAGCCTGGCCCCTTCTTGAGCTCTTTGGTGTGTCCTGAAGGCAAGTGAGAGACTGAAACCAGCCCCAGCACCTTGCACAAGGTGGTCACATCTGGGTGCTCTCGTGGTGCAGGTCCCCAGCAGCAGCAGGTGCCTGGAGGGGCAGGGTGAGCTGGGGTTGGGCTCCCACCGATTTGAAGGGTGTTGTTGTGCTCCCTTCTTAGCACTTGCCCACCCAGAGGTACTGAGTCAGCTGAGGTGAAGCCAAAGCTCCTGGTGGAGCTGGAAACCCATCCTCTGTGTGGGGTGGCTGCTCCTTGCTGCCTGCCCTGTGTCCTGGGGACACCTGAGCGGGGCTGGGGGCTTCACCTGCCTCTGTCACCAGCTGGGCGTGGGAGGTGGGAAAGCTGCAGCAGTGGGTTTCCCACCGCGCTGAGCTTCTCTCCGAGGCTGAAGCTCCCTCTGCAGGACTTTCTCTGGAAGCCACGGCAGCAGGAGCAGCTCGGAAAGCCACGTTGTGCTGCTGCCCTGTCACCATCGCCCTCAGGATGCTCCGAGGTGGGCTGAGCTGCAGGACATGTCACCCTTTAGAGTGCAAACCAACATCTTTGCATCTTCTCTGGAGAAATTAGCGAAAAGCTCTTCCCCAGTGCTCCTTCCTTCCTGAGCCACGCCAGGAGCCTTCAGGATGGGCAGAGGTGGCACGAGGGATTGATCAGCAGCAGCAGAATGGTTCAGTGCTGCAGGGATGGAGGAGCAGGAGGGGTGGTGAGAAGTTGCATTTTTTTATCTGGGGCTGTAACTCTGAGTCTGCCATGGCAGTGTGGGTGGCTGTGGTTCAGAATGGAACCTGGAGAGACACAGAGGTGGCACGTGGAGGGAGAGGCTGTGGTGGCACTGCAAGCAGGCCAGGAGGAAGTTGGCAGCCTGGAAAAGCCATTTGCAAAGGTGCAGGGAGCAGCTCATTTTCTCTGCTTGCTTTGAGACAAACCAGCAAAAGGAGCTGATGAGATGACACCTCCCCATCTGAAAACACTGAGCAGGTTACAGCTGCCTTAACACTTTGGATACAACCCCCTCCCTCTCTCTGTGCATTGTTTGTAATTATACACAGAAAACATTTAGCACCTGAGCCCTTCTGGCTTTGCACAGGCAGGTACAGGTTTGTATAAGGAAGGGTGATGGTGCCCCTGCCAGTGGATGATCAGTACTCCAAGAACCAATTGCCTGTTGGAAGGTAGTGAAGGTTCCAGTCTCAGCTTTTCTGCAGGATGAAACCCTGTCTCCCATCCCTATCAAGGAGGAGTCCTACATACATATATAGCCATCTGGTTGGTGATGGTATGAAATATCAATCTTTTAATATTACCATTTATTTTCCACTATTTCCAGCCTAGTTTGGTCACTGTTACCTTCAGGAGCCAATTCCTCATGCTGATCCTCTTTGTGCTGCTATCTGGGGGCTGCTTAGCTGCTTAGCATAGGAAAGCAAGTGATGAGCAAGTAAAACCTCAGACATGTAGGTCAGAATTTTCCAAAACATTGTTTGTAGATGTCCTGTTGTGTGGGCTTTCCCCCTCTTTCATCCTGAAGTAGATTCAGATGCCAAAAAAAAAGTTTGGTTTTTTAGAGTATGGCTGTTTGGCACATTAGACCATTTTTGAGATACCTTGAACACGACTCCTTAAAACTGAGGTCTCCAAAATTACACATCAGAGCTTCCCTTCCCCCTCCAATTGTTTTTTAAAGCATAAAAAAGTTGAAGGCCAACTGCTGCATTGATGTGGCCATTCCTACACTACAGCAACCTCATCTGCAAGGGTGACAGTGTTTCTTTTAAGATCAAGTCTGGCTCATTGAACCTGTCCTTGCTGTGTGAAGAAGCTTCATGTGCATTATTGACAGCTGGGTTGTTCTGCATCTGTCCCCTTGCAGCTCAGGGTCCTGGTGCTGGCATCCCTTCCATCTCCCTTCCAAAATACCTCTCCTTGGCTCATACCTTTAGACTGCAAGGCAGTTTCTTGAGAGCTCCCTGTGTGGATCACTTAAAATTAATGTGGTGTTTCTCAGTGAAACCTTCAAAAAGGCATCGAGTGCAGCACAAGCTCTGTGGGTCTCACCACAGACAGATGAACAGGTGAAGTTAAAAGCATCAGCTATTTCAGAGGGGGAAAAATCCCACCAAAAAAAACCAGAGAGAGATTTCTGCCAAGGAAAGGTAGAAGTGCCAGAGCATCTGAGAATTGAGCTGGGACTTCAGTCTCACTGTGCTCATTCCTAGAGGGCTTGATAGACTGGAGTACAATTCTAAAAAGATACTTGGCTACTCTTGTAGCAAAGCACTGAAAGATGTTGCTAAGGCCTCACAGTTTGGGTGGGATCCAGGCGTTCTTTGCATGTCCTGCCTGCAGCCAGCCTGCCAGAGGGATGGGACAGGGAGGTGAGGGCTGGTGGACAGGCTGCAGAACTGCTGGGCTGCCTTTGCCCCCAGCCAGCACCAGGTGAGCAGTGTTTCTAGGGTCAGACTGAACGCTGGGCTTGATATCTCCATCACTGGTTTGATGCTGGTGTGGCCACTTGAGAAACGTGCTTAAATCCCTCCTCTTCAGCAAACCCCTTGGTGCCCACGGGGGCTGCAGAGCTCCCTGCAGCCTGGGACAGTGGTTGATGTTCCCCAACCCCCACCCATTTCCTGCTCTCTTTCATGTCTACATTTTAGTCTTTTTTGTGACTGCTGCTAAACTGCCCTATGTCACTTTGGACAAAGTGATGGGAGAGATGAAACGCAGCAGAATCACAGTATTTGATGTGCAGCCTACACCACTTACTGTGCTTTTCTTTCTCATTGTCAGGAAATAGTGGACTGGTTCAATGCCATCCGGGCAGCCCGATTCCATTACTTACAAGTGGCATTCCCTGGAGCCAGTGACGTTGATGTGAGTTTTCCTGCACTTCTGTTTTTTTTTCCCTCTTGCTCATTTTTAGCATCTTTTTGAGAAGCTGGAAGGCTTGGAGAGAGCTCCATCCTTCTGAGCACTGGGCTGAAATTCTTGTGGTGGGCTGGGGAGCCCACGGGCAGCACCTGTTGCCAACATCCAGCCTTGGAAACATGTACCTGGTGTCTGTGTGTGTGTGTGTCTGTGCACACCCGTTCACACTTAAAATGTGAGCTGTGCATCTGAGCAACTCCAGGGCTGTCACGTGTATTGAAGCCACAAGCATCTTGCTCAAAGATTGTTGCTATGTTAAAAGCTGAAACAAAGGCTGGAAGGTAGAAAAGATGAAAGTAAAAGAGTGTGGGTGTTGAACCCAACCCTCTGAGATGAATATTTGTGTGCAGGTCAGTGCAGCCTGTCTTATGAATCTCTGTCTTGTGTTTTCCGGGAGCTGGAACTGCTAATTGCATTTTCTGTTGCTAATATAATCCTGGAGGCTGCATTAGGTCAGGTTGATGGAAAGAGCCTTGTGCTGCAGTTGCTGCAACTGGTGTGTCACGTCACTGGTTGGTGATGGTTGTTACTCTCTGTTACCTCCTTCGTAGATGTTGAAATCTAATTGCATTGCCTGCCTTCTATTAATTACCTGGGAGGTGGCCTGGGTCTGGCTCTGTCCCATGGCTGTGCATCCCAAGGACCTCAGGAGCCAAAGCCTTCCCATCAGATTGACATTAGCTGCCCCAAATCATCCTAATCCCCAGTGAGAAAGAGGGGAGGAGAAGGAAGTATGTTCCCATGGCTGGTGAGCCCTGGCATGAGTGACCTGGAGAGACCTCTGTGGAGACTAGGGTTTGTCTGCAGGGTAGCTTCAACCTGGGTGTTGCCATCATTTGCATCTCATTTATATTTCCTTCACCCTGTCAGAGAGAATAAAAGACACTAAATTAAAACAAGAGCCAGGTTGAATGCAATAGAAAGGTGTAAATTGCTCAAACCACCCTAAGGATGCCCAGGCTGCCTCTGCAGCTCCCAGGGAGTGAGGATCTCCAAAGGATGCTTTATGAACCCATCTGCAGAGTGGAGGAGCCTCTCTGAGCCAAGGGTGATGAGCTTCTTGCTTAGCACAGTGTCCTCCTCAGCCCAGTCCCAGGAGCCAGACTCTGGGGCTATGAACACTGCAGGGCCCTTGGCTGCCTGTGACCAAGTGTCCCAGCTGAAGATGCTCCCAGCTGCTTTGGAGCAGTTGTGTGATTCTTTGGGCCATTATATTTTTGAGCTGTCTTTGCCCCACAAGCAGACACCTGCTGTTGGGCAGCTCTGGGGTTTGGCAAGCAGAGCTGTCAATAACCTGTTTAAATGAAAGGCAGGAGCAGTGTGTGGCCAGACTTATCAGCCCCACTTTTGGTGAGACTCATCATTTTTCAAGAGCATTTCAGAGGCATCTGAGCAAGGCAGCTACTGCCTTGTCTTCACTAAGCAGCCTTAAAAATATCCCTGGAGCTGGTAGCTGTTGTCAGCAGTCTCTGCAGGAAGGGGGGTGAGCTAGCAGCCTGGGATCATGGGGTTTGAGAGACAAATTGTATTCTGGGGCTCGTGTGAGGAGCTCCTGCCTCTGCTGGAGGAGGTGCACTGCCAGAGCTGATGGGTATAGTGGAATTTGTCCCCAGGGCTGCTCCTGGCTTTGCTGGTGAAGCGCTCAAAGGTTCTTTGTGTTTCTGCACCTGCCTCTTCTGAGTACTTTGGAGAGGTGGGACCAAAGCCAGAGCCATTGGGTGGTCTTAGGGCTGGGGGTGATCCCAGTGTGGGGCTTTCCTTCTGATGACCCCCAGCCTGCCCTGCATGCCCAGTCACCCTCCTTCTGCTCTCTTCTCTCTTCTCCAGCTGGTGCCAAAGCTTTCTAGAAACTACCTGAAGGAAGGGTACATGGAGAAAACGGGGCCAAAGGTAGGATATGACATGTTTCTGCGATCCCTCTAACACGAGTCTGGCTCTGCACGGGGCTGAGAAGGGGCTGCTGGTGGGACAAACCTGCCTTTGCTGGAGAGGCAAAGCTTTAATGCCATGAACCGTTTAATGTTGTCCCAGCCCTGGCTGTGGTGGCCTGGAAGCCACGTGTCCCCAACTCCCCCAGGCCATAGGGCTCCTCCAAGTGTCTTGATACCCCTGGGTCATTCCCAGTAAGCAAGGAGCTGTGCTGCTTTGGTGTCTAATCTGATATTGTTTGACTTTTCAGCAAACAGAGGGATTCAAGAAGCGATGGTTCACCATGGATGACCGACGGCTCATGTATTTCAAGGATCCTCTGGTAAGATGAAGGTGCCTGGGCTGTCTGTTGGGGATTATCTGTAGCAATGGTAATAATCTGCAGTGAAGCCCAGACAGGTGGGAGAGCCAAGGGGACACTGAATCATTACTTCTATATGGATTTGCCTGGTGTCAGCATGCAGTAGCCCTCTAGATGCTTTAGAAATCCTACAGACCAGCTGCATCTGGATTTTGGATCCCTGGTGTTCCCACAGAATTGCAGACTAGTCTGTGTTGGAATTGACCTTAAAGATCATCTAGATCCAACCCCCCTGTCAATGGGTCGATGGGTCAATGAGACACCTTCCACTAGACCAGGTTGCTCAGACCCCCATCCAGCCTCATCTTGAACACTTTCAGGGATGGGGCATCCACAGCTTCCCTAGGAAACCTGTTCCAGTGTCTCACCACCCTCACACTAAAGAATCCCTTCCTAATGCCTAACCTAATTCTCCCCTCTTCCAGTTTAAAATCATTACCCTTATCCCATTGCTACATACCCTTATAAAAAGTCCCTCCCCATGGGGAGTCCTGTATTGCGGATGCCCCTGGACTGAGCTGGAGCAGGGACTTGTGGGGTGGGTGCTGCTTTGGGGGTTGCCTGCTGCATTTTTGCATTTTGTTGTCTTCCGGATGGTGCAGAATGAGCTGTGTCCTGGCTGCCTGGGATGCAGAATTCCCCTTGGCAATCACACCTGCCTGACCATTCCACTGTCTCCTAGGATGCCTTTGCTAGAGGGGAAGTCTTTATTGGGAGCAAGGAAAACAGCTACAAGGTCCTGGAAGGGCTCCCACCATCCACACAGGGAAACCACTGGCAGCACGGGATAACTATTGTCACCCCAGATCGGAAATTCCTCTTTGCCTGTGAGACAGAGGACGACCAGCTGGAGTGGATCACAACTTTTCAGAAGGTTATAAGCCGCCCGATGCTGCCTCAGGAATACGCAGGTGTGTTTGCTGGACACCAGCCCTGGCCCCTTTCCCATGGACAGGATGGATGGAGGGGGATCAGGGATGCAGCCACATCGCTCCCCCGTGTGCAAGGGGATGCTAAGTCTGTCCAAGCAAAGAGGGACCCACAGTGGGAGGAGGAGGGTGGTATCCATCCCTCTTCATCACATCTGGTGTCATGTCCATGCTGCTATAAGGTCACCCAGTTATAAGTATCATTGGAGCCAAGGAGCACTGGGAAGACAAGGACCATCCGCAGGGTGGGCTTGTGTGGTGCTGTTGCCTCCTTCCAGGGCTTGTCTGGTTTTAACTTTATATTCTCTGTTTTTTTTTTTCTTTCAGTGGAAGCCCATTTCAAACATAAACCTTAGCTGGGACTGGCTGGGCAGACCTGAGGAATGAGCTGCTGTTTACAACACAACGTGGTTTTATTTGAAATGTTAAAAAAATAATGAATAATAATAATAACAGTAATAATAACAATACTTCCCTTTCCCCTCATAATTCACTTGATCATGTTGGAAACCAAGAAGGACGGTGGTGAAATGTCAGAGAAGATGCTGATCCAACGTGAAACCCTGTGGCTGCTCCATGGGATGTGCTGCTGGGACAAGTCATCCCCAGGACCTCATCACCCCCACCTGCTGACAGGGGTGTCCAACCCCACTTTGGGGGGATGGAGAGGATTGTCAGCCCTTTCCCTGGGTACCTGCAAGTCCCTGAGCAGTGACATCCTGGTGGGACACGAGGCACCAACCTGAAAGAGTGACGTGTGAAATGGCTGGTCCTCCCTATGGCATCAGGGTGAACGATAAGTAACTGACCTCTGGTGGTGGTGGTGGTGTTGGTGTGCCCTGGCAAGGGTCTAACAGGATTTAGAAATAAGAGAAACCAGCATCACTGGACTCAGTATCTGCTTAATGAAGGACATGGAGGAGGGTGCCCAGTGTGGGCAGGGCAGGAAGAGGGACACTGAGCCACGAGGTGATGTCTGGGGAGCAAAGCTTCTGGTGTTGGGCCCTGCACCCCCATCTCTGCCCCGCTGCACTTGTGCTCCCCTGGTTCCTGTGTCACAGCTTGGGGGGGTTCACCCCATTTTAGGAGCCCAGTGTGGGCTGAGGGGGTTCAGCTTCAGGTGCCGTTTTGCTGACAAACACCATAAAAGCCCATCCCAGCCCCCTCAAAGCTGACAACACATTGCTTCTCCAGGCTGATGGTTGCACTTTTGTTTTGTTTTCCAATAATTCTCTTAGGGTTGTTTGTTTTTTTGTCAATTTTTATTTTCCCCCCTCCCCTGCCAAAAAAATAACAAAAAAATAAGCTGCTTGAAGTGAGGTTTCAGCGCCGTGTTGAGCCCTGTAGTTCCCGCGGGCAGGGCAGGCTGGGACCTGCAACACCACGGGCTGGATTTTTTGACCCAGAAATGAAATTCCCGGGGTCTGCTGAAGTCCCAGCCCCAAGCACCGACCCGCCCGCCTTCCTCCCGTGGGTGTGTGTACATGAGCATCTCATCGGCTGCGCCATTCGTTCTGTCACTGGTAAGACACCTGTGGTACTAAATGTCATTCAAACCAATAAATGATGATGTCGGAGCTGTGGCTGTGTCGTGCTGGGGTGGGGGGGAGGTGGGGCTCAAGACCAAGACCAGGTAGGTGGTGGTGCTGGGGGAACCCTGGGGGGGGGGTTGGACACCCACAAAAGCATCTGCCCCCCCCTCCCAGGGCTGCTTGGTGTGGGTGTGGGGGACAGAGCAGCTGCACAGACACATGGGTGTGCACCAGGTAAGTGTATTTCCTGTAAACCACACACACATACTTGTGTTATATATTGTATGTGTGTATGATATATACTGTATATATTCTGTAATACCAATATTTTATACCTAAATATGCACACATACACACAAAACATGTTAAGAAGGGGGGGGAAGTATGAAAGTTGTTGAATAGTAACAGACACAAGAGATAACACACTTTTCTGTGCATGTATGAGAATATAGTTCATCTGAACACTGCATGTATATATCTGGAGCCACTGTTAGACACTTACTGAAGTTACAAATACATAAACTCAGTGTGTATCACACACATCTGTATATGTATACATTTTTTTAATACTGCAGAATTATAAGACAATTATATAGTATACATATACACATGGTCATGCTTTTTATACTGGGCTAAAGTATGAATTTAAGAGGAAATATATTGCATATAAACGTGTATGTGCAACTATAGATATTTAATCTCCATTAAAAGTATTTAGATTTTACACAAACTCACACTTAAAACCCCAGGCATGTCAGAAGCAGAGACAGGACTGGCTGGGCTAGTTGTTTGTAGTTATAGCCAAACACTTGTGTGTATAATTAAGAATAATAATATTAGTATTAGAAATTACATGCAATTATATAATTTAATGATAAATTATTATATACATGGAAGGCTGTTTATGTGTGTATATATAACTTAAAAAATATATATTTTACACACATATATTCTGTCTATACTGTGGTAATTACTATGTGTTTTGTACCCCCATGCCTGGCAGCAGAGGCACAGGCTCACCAGCCCTGGGTGCTGCTCTGCCAGCAGGGCTGGGGTCACAGCAGTGGTGAGAAGGGGTTCACTAACTTGGAGCTGTGCAGGATGGAGGTGGAGCTGTCACTGCCAGACACTTTAAGCTGCCCCAAGACAGGCATGGTATCTGGCAGCCACAGCCAATGAACCCAGTGTCTCTTACCTGCCAGCTGAGGTCTGGGTGACCCACAGCACGGGAGGAGGGACAGACACAGCAAGGCAAGCTCACCCGTTAGAACTCAGCAACATCGCGCATCCTGGTATAAAGTGTTTATTTGAGACTTCACAATAACACAAAGTCTTCTTTTCAATGCCTTTTCTTTTTCATACAGTCAATAAATTTGTATTAATCCCTCCCTCCCCCATGCATGCTTGCTGTTTATTAATCTAAGCCTTTTTTTTTATCTTCATTGTGAAAAAATAAAGCGTTTCCCCACCCTTGGATCTGCTCACGGTACCACCGCCATCCACTGTGCTGCTTTAAAGAGGAGATGTAGAATGGCTATGCCTACCACGGGGGGTGAAGTTACTCCATTACTTACTGATTTATTCTTCTTTACAGAAAGTGTTAAATGAATCAACCACCCAAGAAAAATAAATATATCATAAAGAACCAGAAGTTCTGCAGTATCCCTTTTCTTTACATACAGCTGCAGTTCAAACTCATACGCTGCTCACGGCAAAGCATTTCAGTCACTGTAACACCTTCACGTATGGCTGTGAACTTACACTGAAAAACAAAAAATCATTTCTTCCAAAGGAGCAGAGCCACTAGGCCAGAGGAGGTATTTTAGATGCCAGATTTTTTTATATCTAGGTAAGGGAGAACCATATGGAAGCCAATTACTTATCTTCCACTGAGTGGCTTTCACTCAGCAGCCATTCAATCTTGTGCTTTTCAGGAAGTATTGGCTGATTACAGGGTGGGCTCAGCCAGAGCCAGCCCTCAAACAGAGTGCCAGGCAGTATGAAGGGCCTGCATGTTACTCACCGCAGTGGAAGCGAGTTCATGGTATCAATGTCTCCTGGATGTGCAGCTCAAATTATGCTGCCTGGCTCACCTCGCAGGACTTTTGGCACCAGCCTCACCAATCAATGATTCAAATGCTCACTCCGCCTTCCGAGATCTTCCCTGGAGGTGGCAGAGGTCAAGGAGGCTTTCTCTTAACAAAGATGGTAGTGGGCAGGTCGTGAAGTACAAGCCCCACCTTTATGCTCTATTAATGACTGTGCAAAAGGGAATACTGCATCAGAAACCGTAGAAGACTAGAGTTTAATCAAAGTCACCAGCCGCTGCATCGGAAACCTGCTAACAATCGCTCCGATTGGTTCATTTGGCTACTTTTTGTTGGTGTCTCTCTTTTATTACATAAATAATATAGACCAAACATTATAAACATTTCAGCAACCATTTCTAAAAGACCAGAGGAGCCCGCTTAGGCACCAAGAAACAACTGCAGGTTTCAAATTCCAACATGGTCTTTGGAGTCATCAAATCATCAGATTTACACGGCACCCACTGACAACTATTCAGTCGAGCTCAATAGGACTGCTGTCTTCCTGACCATCTTCTGTGTCCTCATCTTCTCCAGTTCCCATGAGACTGTTTAAAAGATTTCCTAGAACAAAATACAGGGCACTCAAAATTGCTCATTTTAAATTCTCACCTCTAAAATTTGTCATCCTGCTAGGGTGCAGTACACCTTTTACTTCAAACAACAAAAAAGTCTCAGTAGCTCATTAGTATTTTCCACACTTGTTTCCACTAAGAATTTATTGATTTAAGCAGCTGTGTTTTGATACTGTTCCTTCTCTAAAAGTACACTGGAAAATCTCCATTAAAATAATATACTTATGTACTATAGTTGCAGCAGGAAAGAAAAAACAAACAACCAACCAGCCAAACCGGGAAAGACAAACCTCCAGCCATGAAACTGTCAAAAACCAGCAATGATCTGCATCATGCAATTAAAAACTTGTTTGAGGCATTTCCATGCTCTCTCTGCTTTACTCAACCTAAAGATGCCTGGATTGCTGAAAAGTCATTATTTACAGATGGGAACTTCAGCCACCTAAGTCAGAGGAAATTAAGCTTTAACTCAAGCAAGGTTTTTATTTAAATTTGGAAGTTGTACCATAATGTCAAAAATTATCTGTAAGAGTCATTTACAGGCTTCTTCCCTTCTCAGATGAAAACTCCACTCACTTCACCAAATTCATTTCACATGCAACCAATTCATCTTGTGTTCTAGTCACTGTAGATACAATACATTGATGAATTACCTGTTTCCAGCACAGCCATTTTATATAAGCCCCTGCATTACAGAAATAATGCCTGGTGGTACCTATAAGCAGTGATGGGCACCATCCTTACCTAGCAATCCTCCGTAGGACGATGTCTGCTTCGGTGGAACACCAAAGAAAAGCTGTCCTATTCTATCGAGGTACTGAAAAGACACAAGAGGAAGAACAACATCAGTTCCTTCCCTTTACAGATTGAAACACTACAGGCAGCAGTCACACCACACAAACTAGATCACTGGCTCCTATCTACAGGCCACAAACCAGAAGACAATCAGCTATTATTGGACTAACACTGCAGGTTAAATCCTGTTTACGAATACTCACCTCATTATACATGGGATCTCTTTTCAGTGAAGGTTGATACTGTTCACACAATACTGTAAATACTGTTAATTTTCCTCTAGAAAGAGAACAACCAAAAATGTAATCTCAGTAACAACTAGAAAAGGAAACCAAGGAAAACATGAGGGAAATCAGACTGTACCCATCAACTGCCAATAGCAGAAACCAGATGAAGTTTAGCAGCGGCTGAACAAAGGGTGGACCCTTTTCTATTGAAGGATGTTTCTGTGTGTAGGTTGTAAAAACAACGGATGCACTGGTCTTATTTTTTAAGCAGAGAAATCTGCAACAAGAAACAAAACAGGGCAAGTTAAAAACAAAAGGAAGAGAAGTAGTTTTACATGCAGAAAGAGAAGCCAATGGCTCCTCTCTTCATTTCTATTTCATTTGTGCGTAGAAGCCATCTCAGGCTTAACTGATTGCCAAAACTAACTGGTAGAGATGCAGCAATGTTTTGGCTATCAAGCAAGGAAGGGGAAAAATCACTACTGTGGAAGAAGCAGGTTGGGACAGAGAATGGACATAAAATATTAATAGAATTAATTTAACCATAACCTAAGCAGACTGCATACGGGGTGGTTACTAAAATTAAATAGAAATGACAAAAGACTGGCCACCATGTAATTAAAAAGAAACATAATAATATTGCATTTACTGGTCCAGAGTTTACTATGCTGAGGTAAAAACTGAAGATCCCTCTCCTGGCCCCACCCACTCCCAAACACAGTATGTATCTGTCAGTGACTGAGGACTCTGTCATTCTCCCAGCACTACCTCAAACTAACGTGGCATCAGGGCCACCAGTAAGTTTGACACACATGGCTAAAATTCTCATAGTAAAGGTGTACTTTCAGTCTCCAAGCCATTTGTCACCAGTTAACAGATCAATTCCCCAGACTGATCAAGTCTTTGTTCAGGTCCAGTTAATTTAACTGGCAACCTCTGCAAATCCCACAGGCCTAACAAGACACTTGATCTGGGACAAGGGCTGTCAGCAAGCACTGGGAAAGCTGCCACAAGCATCTCACTTTTGGTTGTAGGCTGGCCTCCAACTCTGTACATATGCAAGGGCATTGGGCTCTTTTGCCTTGCTGCTGAGCAAGGAACTGCAATTATTTTCATTAGAGTATAAACTGGATAAGAGGATTTGGTAAAGCATTTGAGACACAGGCCAGTAAAGGATGCAGCAGTGGTGCTATATAAATACTGAAAAAAAATAATCTCTTCCTCATAACTTCTCCCCAGAATTTCTCCCCCTGCAGACCAAAGCCCCATAAAATGGTTTAAGAGTCCTGCAAATACTGGATTTCCACAAAGGATTTTGTACCACTCAAAATCACTGCAATCTGTATCAACCAGCTACAGAAAGCAGGACAAATCTAACATGACAGCTCACTGCTGCCAAAAGAAACAGACTTGCTCTCACCTCCTCCTTCTCCCCCAACACCTACTCTCTCCCTAACTCCCTGCTGCACAGTCCTGTCTCCACCTCCTCCTCAGACTCCTCCATGAGCTGCTTTCCCTGACTAAAGAAAACCATCACCTGACTAAACACAGTAAAATTGGCTTTGTCAATCTTAATTGTACATGAGTTCTGCAGAGGCACAGAACAGCTTCCATGCCCACCTCCTACAAAGTAAATATCTGAAGTAAATGAAAGCCACCAGCAACTCTGTCCAACCAAGAGCCATTGCACTGCTGGTCACAGACCAGGGTGACCCAAAACAGTCTCTTAGGACAATGAGACTGAGAGCAAGTACTATGCTAAAGGTAAACACTGAACCTACTTAGGTCCAGACTTGGTAAGAATATCGAGGCAAGTCAGAACTAGACATAAAGGGGTGTTAACAAAGCTAAGAATTGTTCTTTCAGGGTCAAACAGATTACATTAATTCTCCAGGCTATTAACATGATTTCAGGTTTTGACCTTAATTCTTCTTTAATTTTCTCTCCCCAGCCTAACCAATTGAACACACCAGTTTTGAGATAGTTTTCTCCTGCTGTTACCACACAAAGTGAACTTCAGAAGCTCTGGCCAGTTCCACAGTTTCTTTTGAAAAGGATGCACAGTTATCATGCTTAAGTCAGATTGGCCTCAAACACTGTCATCTCAGCAAAACACTTGAAAAAAAACCTTAACACCTACTGTAGTACTGCCTGTGCTACAAACATGTCCACCTCACTGCGATATCCCCTGGAGGAGGAGTATTCCACTAGCATATTTGCACATCCTTCACCATCTGTGGAGTGCAGGAAGTGATACCGAGACTCACTGTAGTTTTGCTCTAGAAAATGAAAAAGAAAACAGCTTTTAAGAAATCATTTCATCATACCTGAATGTAAAAATACATTTGTTGGGCTTGTTCAGTACAGTTGGTAAAAGGACAAGAGTTACACGCATGGTATTTAAACAAGACAATGAGCAAAAAAAGAGAGTGGGTTTTTTCCTTTGTAAGTTACAAAAAATGTATAAAGGTAGATAATATGTTATCCTAAATACATTTGAACAACTGCTGCTACAGACAATTTATTCAATGCCACCACAAATACAGCTGCCACTGGGACAAACAGCTCAAGCTGCAGCCATGTCATTTTACCTAAATGCATGTGGACACTTCACGTGCCAACATCTGTGCTTAGGAGAAGAATCAAGAAGTTCCATATCAGATCATGTGCCCCAAGAAGTCAAACATCACCTTCAGCATCCTTCTTCCCAAGTGCACATTTCCTATTGTTAGCTTAGCCCACTCTTGGTATCAAAATTAAAACTGCTTCCTTATACTGAATAGAGCAGCAATTGTTCAGAGAAAAAAGGTGTAAGAAATGGCAACAATTTGCTAGAACTCAGCTTGAAGCAAAGCATCATGCAAAAACACTGCAATGACAAACCAAAAGTGGATAGCTGCTGATTTTTGGAATTAAAAGCTTTTTTTAAAAAAATTGAGCCTTTCCTGATGAAACTCTCAAAAACTACAGACTAAGAAAACATACACACTTCAAAAGAAAGTGAGCAGATGGTTGCCAAATGGGGATCTTTACTTTCAGAATCCAACTGTTTCTTAGCCTAATTGTATCTCAGCTTGTAACTTCAATGCTCTGAGGAAAATCCTCCCTCTCTGGCTGCCAGCAGCCATCAAGCTAACCTGAGTCCCATGAGAAGAGCCACAGGATTGCCTATGGCACACAGAAAGGCAGTGAGCTGGAATGTCAACCACTGGGTCAGGATTGTTATATGAAACCAATATTATCACTTTGCAGCTACTGAAAAAAATGTTAAATAAACAAGCACCTTGCAGTTTTTAATTCATTAAAACCCACAGAATAGATGGCATTTATTCAACTGTTCTCACTCACTTTTGTTAGGTTTTGAATATAAGACTTTACAAACTGGCTATCATCCACAATTGAAATAATTATTCAGTGCATTTTTGGTTTCTCTTACATCCCAAGTGATAAAATCCCACATAAATCAAAGGCAATAGCTCTCATTCTGGAATAAGACTGCTGGTTAACATCTCAACAAGTACCTAAACACAGATCCAAAGACTGTTTTTGGATGCTAGGTGATGGATTTCAATCTTTGCCATGTCTATCTCAGATTTAAAAACAATAAACCCACAACAGAATAGCTCTGCTTCCCAGCTATTTTCCTTCTAAGGACTCAATCAAACTAACTCAATGCCTCCAGGATCAATCTTCCTTTTAGAGAGCCTTACAGCAGTTGTGCTTTGGGTTTTGCACTAATGCAGCGTTACAACCTCAGGTTTTTGTGGTTTTTTTTGTAGTAACATTAAGCTGAAATTACTGCTAAAATCCAGTAGCAGCAGAACTCAAATCAATCACTTCCATCTCCCACTCCTCTGATAATTTTGAAAGTATGTCTCTCACAGTATCATACTTTCAGCATCTTCAAAACAAAACACAGAAAAGCCAATTGATTTTTCTTACCTTTCCACAGGGTAATTGCTAGTAACTGGTGTAGTTTCGGATGTCCAAGTTTTCCTGATCCCCCACTAGACCATTTGAGTGCTCTGGATACGAAAGCCACTCTTTCAGGAGAATTTGGATCCATTAAACTAAACAATTTAGCCAAGTGTTCTAGAAGCAATAAGATTCACAAATATTAGCATTAATAGGAAAAAGATGAACTGCTGCTTCTAGTGCATCTTTAAGATATATCATTTAAGCTGCAGTGCTTCTGTATCTTTAAGCTCCCTTAATGGCCTCCACAAGCCACCTTAAAAAGAGTGACTTTGAACTTGAGCCACTTCTCCCACATCAGGTTCATCTTGCATCTGTCAGCCAGAAAGATTTGTATGTCTCCTCTGCAACCAAAAGAGGAAACACTGCAGGTTATCGGCCTGCTTGTCATTCATAGGGAAGCTGTGAGGGACAGAGGGCTGTAGCTTGGAAAAGCACCACCAGAAGTCACAGCTGGGATACAAATTGACAGAACTGATCTAAATAAACCAAGAACAGCCTCTGTCTGTCTTTCTCCATCCATTGGTTGTTAACAGGAGTGGTTTGCCCATGCTGCAGCAGCAGTCTGGCCAGGCAGCTCTTAAGGTCTCACTGAATTTCCTGTTTACCAAATTTCACAGTCAAACAAGAAACATTTCCTTGCCAATAACTGCATCACAAATAATACACGTTACAGCACTGCTAGGGTGGGAAACCACCATCCACCACAGCCCTGGGGACATTAGTGGTCATGTAGACAATACATTACTGCTGCATGGAGGAAAGGACAATGCCACGAGACAGCAGTGTTTGTCCTAGGCAGGCTCACAGAGTTATCAGGAATCCATTAATCTCCAAATTAGTTTTGCCCTGAGTCCATTTCTATGATGAGAGGGCCTTTGCCATATGAGAGGGCATACAAAAAGGATTTTGGGTTTCAAGACTGCTAACAACAGCCACTGAGAAGAGAAAGCACATCTAAACACCACAAAACCAAGCGTAAGGGTCACCTCACCTAAAAGGTCATCTGCTACTTTTGCATCTGATTTCTCCAGAGACTCCAGAACCAGCATGGACAGATCAGAAGCACTGTTTTGCTACAAAACACATACTGGTATCAGTACAGAGAAGAAAGTATCCACCAGAATTTTGTCAGAGACAGATTTAATACTTTTATCAGCATCTACAGCTAAGGCACAGCATCATGTCTCAACCACCCCTTATAAAAAAGAATTATTGTAATTTGATGGCATCAAAAGAGAAGCCTCCAGGAAAGCAAAACAGACATGGTTATGATTATTGTTTGGATGCTCACGAATACTTGTGTTTTATGTTCTAGTTTAGCATAATCCTTTGCAGAGAATGACTCAACAAAGAGATAAAACAAAAGACTACAAAGCAATTACCCCAAACATTTACCACCAAGAATTGAACATTCACTCCTCAAAGTCTTGGAATAACAACTCTCTCTCCTCCCATCCAACACACACAAAACCAGTGACTTACCTGGTTATGACTAAAGAACAGCAAAGCCCCTGAATACATAAGTTCTCTTGCTTCTGCATGTTTTCCTTGTGACATATACCTGAAAACAGTAACAAAGCCTCGATAAAAATTCCCCACAAAACAGGCTGCATATGCTTAAAAGTTACTTGCATTTCAATGATTAAAGATCAATAAAATTAAAAAGGAAGGCAATAAGGGATTTATTTTAAAATCAAGTTAGTTTCAATAATGATGTGGGCTGAAACAAAGAAAAGGAAACCACCCCAAGTGCTCACCTGAGCAAAAGATGCCAACGCACCGCATCACACCGCTCAGACCATCATGTCAGAGCCTCTGTCAAACCCAAACCCATCCCAGTGAAGCAGTTTTTGGAATACACCCTGACAGCCCACATCCCCAGGTCCACCCAAAGCACTCCAGCCCTCTCAGATGTCTCTCTGACCAAGACTACTCTGGGAGGGGACACCAGCCACACACTAGTC